AGCAAATTTTCACGGTGTTTTTGCCGTTCTGTCATATAATAGGCTGGTGCTAAATGCATTCCCCGGGGGGAAGGGGGAGCGTGTGGTTAGCTGGAAGAGTTCTTATAATAGGTACTCTGTGCATAAAGAGAGGGAGGAGACCTAAACATCAATTCGGAAAGCGTTTCGGCACGAGAAAAGGGCTTGAGAAGGGGATAGGAAACTCGGTAAAAAGGCTTGGGTGATGAATCTGGGCAAGAGAGCATAGGAAGTCCGTGCCCTTGTGAAACTGCTGAATTCCTGCATGGCAAAGCATGCCATTACAAAGGTTGGAGCGGGGATGGGAACGAATGTGTGGAGTTGCGAGCAAGCTGAGGAGAGTTTACATTAATCGGTTTGGGAGATTGATGAATGATAGACTTGCACTTACTGCCTTTCTATTGTGTTTTTTTTTTTTTTTCAGCGAAGCTGAGCTCTGGGGGAGCACAAACACAAGGGAAAGATGCCTGTGGTGTGGCCAACTCTTCTGGATCTCAGCAGAGATGAATGCAAGAGGATCCTTCGCAAACTGGGTACAGTAAGATACAATTTGTGGGTCTGTATGTTTGCCCTTTTAAGATTTGCCTGCCTGCTGCTTCCATGAAATACTTTAATATGTCTACAGGCAACTTACAAGTCACTTCCTGTATTTTGCATGTGTCATTGCTTTGACAACCCTGGCTTAAAATGATCTTTGGCAGACGCTCTCTGCCTGAGCAAAATGAATAGAGCAGAATTGTTTTGGTTTGGTCGAATCTGTCATGGATGTCCTAGTCCATCTCTGCCTTGATGTTGCAGTGTTGCATTGCCGTTCTTTTTACCGCTGTTAACATGCAACGGGATACTCTGTGAGAGGAGAGTCTTTGTTTTTTGATTCTGTATTAGGCACCTTTTTGTACCAAAGAAATCATGAAACCCTAGTTTAACTGGCACTGTGAGACAGAGTTCAAGTAGTAAAGGTACTATCGTAAAAACTTGGAACAGGAGGAAAAAAAAAAGTGATGGTCTGTGATTTGCAATTACAGAAATTATTAGGGAAGTGTGAAAAAAATGTTCTCACTTAACTGTCATAACAACAGGAGCTTTTTGCATTGTTTCAAATGTAGTTTGATATCTGAGACCCGTACCCAATAGATATATATTGGGAGATTTTTTTCTGTGCCCTGTCCTTGTAAATATACGCGTACAAGGTGACATGTTTTTTGTATTTTGGAAGGTAATAAAAATATTTGTTCTTTCTCATGCATCCATGGGAGAGAGAATCCTTTGTTAGACTATTGATCTGATCTTGCACAATTGTTTGAGTTCTTAGAGCTGAATTTCTTTTTATTTAGTTAAGTTTTTTGTGCCAGTTAAATGATGCGTAATACTAGAAGGAAAGAAAAAAAAACCTTAGATTTCTTTTCAGACTTTCTTCTGAGGAGCATAATCTAGGAGATGATGTTAAGAATAAAATTGAGACTCCCTTTAACTTCCTGTGACCATTAGGTCAGCTTTTCTTGTCATTTTACTTGAATATTAAAAGATGATGTGCTGTACTACTTAACTATGCCAAGGGTCTCATACATTATGAAGCCATCTACTTTATTTTTTGAGAGCTGAGAATTTATTTTCCCTTGCTGTGCCCTTTTTATTTAATTTCTTGGGAATCTGGGATTTATGTTCTGTTGAAACAGACAGTGATACAGATGTTGCACACAACGTTGCAACTAAGCTGTACCCCCATTAAGGTGATAGCCCATGGTCTTAAGCGAGGCTCAAGAAGTATGAAAACTAGGAGAAAGTGCAGGATACCAAAAGAATTGGACCGGGTCTGTGCTACTAAATTTTGTTAACGTAGCTCTGCTGGCTGGGAGCGTGGAAAAAAAACTTCCACCCCAGCTGACGGCGGTGTGCTGGCAGAACCTTGCTGGTGCAGCTGAGCCAAACAGAACTGCAGCTACACCTCCTTCAATGACATAACCTAGGCTGACAGGAAAAAAAAAAAAAAAAAATTTTTTTTTTTTTTTTTTCTGGCATGAGCTATGTCCCCACAAGAGGGCCCTGCCAGCGTAACAGAGGATCAGAGCCTGTAGCAGCTGTGTTTCTTGTAGGGTAGAGAAGCTCTTAGTTGAAATAGATGCACCACGAGACTGGAGGGTGAAGGAGGATGGGCAGTGGGAGCAAATAGCTGTCTTAGCGATGTAATATCCAGCAATATTCATCTATTTTATAGAGTCACACTTTTCCAGCTCGCAGCCCAACATCTTATTTGGTTGCCTTTTCAGCAATAGCGGGGTACTCCATCACGAGTGAAATGCAGTGGTGTAGGTGAGGGTGAAATGCATCCTGAGGTGTGCAATACCTAGCGTTGTTCTGCGGCGTTTGTGGTTTATAACTGAATAAGGGGGTGGTGGTAGCACCTTACACTTGAAATAAAGATACTTATTTGTGAAACCTGTTTTGGCTGTTTGATATGTTTTGTGTTGGAAAGAGAGCACACCAGTTAGTGATTGCTACATAGACATAAGGATGAGGAAGCTAGTTACAGCTGTTCTGTGATCTTTACTAGCTTCCAGAAGGCTAGAATATGCATTTTTAAAACCCTAGTGTAGAGGATCTCTATTAAAGATGCAGAAAGGAGAAAAAAAAAATCTATCCGTGCTAAATAATTATACGGTTGTATCTGAGAATTACTTTGTGTTGTTAACAGAGGAAAATAATTAGTATCTTCAATATTGTAACATGGTTGTCTAAATAAATGTTGATATTAGTAATAACCATTGCATTAATTAGCAAATGTTTTATAACTGAAACTGTAAATGCTTCTACAGGTCACTCAGCATCCCTGTGCAGGCTGCATAGTTAACCAAAGCGAGACTGCTTTGTGTTTTATCTGCTTAATCAGGACAGGAAAGCAGGACTTCTTTTCAACACCATTCCTTGATTTGATTTGTAAATTAGCTCTTTGGAATCCTAAACTGAAAGCTTTCAGAATAGGATCAGTCTTTCTTTTGCAGCAAACTTCAGAGGTGTTAGGTTTTGGCCTGCCCCTTTTATCTGGGATCTGTTGTGGGGTTGGTTTGGGTTGGCTGCTGAAATGGGGGTGCCGAATGAAAGGCAACTATGTAAGTATGAAAAGAATTTGTGTTTCTGGTTTAAAGCAGGAGTTTCAGTAACATTTCCTTAAACTGTACTAAGCTTAGAACAGCAAGTCATTCTTTGGCAAATTAGCGGACCCCATTATTTGCATTAGGTATATTTTCACCATGCTTAGTAGGACAAAATTCAGAAGTTTCAGTAGCCTTTAACTATTGTATTTTTTTAAAAAAACCGATGGCATGACATTTACATAATTCACCTGGAATTATAAATTTGCGTTAAATCAGAGTTGTATTTTTGTATGTTAATCTTTGTGATGGCTCTCTATTTAAGAATAGCTGGCTTGTTTCTTTTGTGTTGAGCAGGTTTAATTTGCTGTGTTGCATTCTTTTCAGATTCAAGCAGTTGTACATGTCGAGTAAATGGGCATAAAAGATTATGATGATCATATTTAACAAACTAGAGCTGATGTTCTCCAAGCTAATTAAGGAAAGGCATTACGAAAAAATCAGTTGCTCTTTTGACAGTGTATTTCTTTTTCAAGCCAAGCTTTTCTGTGGAACTTTTAATAGTGATATGTGTTAAAGATTTTCTTCTGCTTCTAGAGAATTCTGAGCTACCCTCCAAATTTTGAGACTGTTTCTTCAAGCTTTCTGGCTGAACTGTCAGCTCAGAGCTTGAAATATTCGGTTGGTTTCATAAACTAGGTAATCCTCTGTGATGATATAGTTGTTTCATAGGAAAACTGTACACTGCAGAGTAATTGACTGAGAGTTCCAAGTCATCAATCTCTTTTGAAAAGCACTAAATAATTGAAAGACATGTTCCTCTTAAAGATCTTGAAAATTAATAGAACACTGTCAGTAATACTGAAAATAACATTTTTTTCCTTTGCTGTGAGCATTAAATAGAAATACTGTTTGCTCTAATTCTTTAGAACTGGAGGCGTATGCAGGTGTCATCAGTGCCTTACGTGCACAGGGAGACCTTACGAAAGAGAAGAAGGACCTTCTTGGAGAACTCTCTAAAGTCCTTAGGTAACCCTGACCTTTTTAAAATAAGAACCTATGACCTGTTTTCTTTGAAGGCATTGCGTGCTTTTTCTATTGCTAGTATCACAAAGCAAATCTTAATTTAGAGAAGTAATTCTCCATCTTGTGGAGGTTTAATGCCTCTTCTGCTTTGAGTTTTTAATAAGGAAAACAACTGTGCTTCTCTGAAGCTTTACTGTTTTGTTGGTGCTTTGTGAGATACTGAGTGTTAAAAGGATTACAGCTAGCTTATGAGTGTGCGCTAACTTGGAGTTCTGACAAGGTAGGACTTCAAGGTCTTTGGGCCAAAGTTACGTTGAGGAAGAATGCTGCATGCTCTGTGTGAATTTTTTTACCATATGCTTTAAATTTATTGCTCTCATTAGGAGGTTTGATTCTAGCTGTTTTACAGGGGTAGGCTATGAACAGTAATGTTCTTTTTATTCTTCAGTAATATTTTTGAACAATAATACATTCATTCTTTCTTACTGTGATGGCAAAAGTTAAGTGACAATCTCTTAAATGTAAATCCTTGTTCCCTTTCGTCTCTTGAGTAGATTATTCATAAGTTTAATTTTAGCTAGAAGTTTTAGATAAATGTTCGTGTCTTCCTCTGACTAAAATATATTGCTGGGTTTTTTTAATAGTATTTCAACGGAGCGACATCGTGCTGAAGTTCGGAGAGCAGTAAATGATGAACGACTAACGACTATTGCACACAAGTAAGTTGCAGGTCATTTTCTATGTGATTTCCAAAGGTACCCTTTGGAAAATCCATTATGCCTTAACTGAGCGATAGAACTTTGAAGATTGATGGTGGTTTAAAGAACAGTAGTTAAAACAGTGTATGGATGAAGGAATTACTGTATCAGATTTGCGTCAGGGAACTAGAAACAGTTTAGTACTGTGCATTTTGGATCTGAAGGCATCTTGTTTGCTGTACAAGTACAATATAAGAAACAGTCTTTTGTCATGAAGAGCTTTCTGTAAGATAGACCAGAAGAAGCAGAGAGTGAAGAAAGTAGAGAAATGCATAAGCAGGATGAACATGTTTGCTTTATTATTTTTTTGTTTTACCTTTAATTTTATTTAAATCCATTTGGAAAGGTTGTATTAACAGGGACTTAACTATAGAGGCAGACAAAGGGAGGGGAAGAGGTGGCAGAGATTAGTGGGAAACAGTGTATCAGCACAGAGGCAGGGAAAAAAAAATAGAGGAAAAAAAACCACAGCAGGCTAACTGATGACATCAGTGTCCACCGTTCTCTGCTTGATGCAGCTGCTGTGCTGGCATCAGCTGGGCTGGTTCCTCCTTGCATTTGCTGTCACAAGTTCCATATGATTTTGAGAGGTGGAGAGGAGCAGGAGGGCAAGTGCTTACGTATCTCAGTTACTTAACAGTCTTACTATTAAGAACAGTCTTTAAACAGAGTTGGATTGTAAGTGGCTATTTTTTTTTTTCTGTGTTAAAAGCATTGATTTTTTTGACTATTGTGGCTTAGGTGTTACAAGGAGGAAAAAAAGGAAATCATACATATGGCAGGATGCTTGGGGTTAGCAATTGTCTGATCCAAGACCAAAATCAGCATACTGTTTTACTGCTACAGAAGGATACCTAACATTTTAGTGTTTTAATATTCAAGTTTAAAGAGTTAGAAGTATGCTGTTTACTAAACAAAAACCACCGACTTCTTTGCACTCCTTTAAAGAAATGAGGGAAAAAAAATAACAAAAAATAAGCGTTTAATTGTCAAATCAGGATTCTTTTCTTGAATCAAGTTTCCTTTTTAAGTAGTAGTTCTGGTTTTAGCATTTCCAGAGCAAGCATAAAGTTTGTCCTGAGGTGTTGAACTTCAAATGGATGAGATATAATCCAGACAAGGTGCAGTTTTGAAGTGCTGCATCTCTTTTATTTTTCCTGTGGCAATTCTATCTAAGTGATGGTTGGTAATATAGTATTTGACTTAAATAATGTGTGAACTCATTAGGAAAGCCGACTTTGCTAGTTTTGCTGTATGCAACATTTGTAATCTTATTTTTTATTTTAAAAATGTATTTTTACCTCAGCTGATGTAGCTCTGCTTATACTACATGAATATTTATGCAGAATGCTGAAGTGTATCAGAATTTAACAACAGAGCAGGTCCTCTGCATTTTACGAACTAATTTGTGGTAGCTTTTGCTGCAACTTGCTTGCAATAGTTCATGAGAAATTGTTTTTCAGAATATATTAATACATTAAATGGGTTGATTTGCTTAAGAACATAACGGCATTGAAAAATAATTTGCCATTTTGGTTTTGCTGATTTGATAAATGATTCATGTAAAATAGTCATAAACAGAAACACTTTTCCATCTAGATAAGAACAACATTTTTTGGAAACATTATATTTGTGTGTAAGTATTAAGGTTAGAGAAAACTAGAGCAACAGACTGCTTTCTGTTGAGGAGGATGCTCGAGACAGGCTGCTTTCTGTTGAGGAGGGTACTCGGGATGTATTTAAATCATTTCATGTTCTATTACCTTGTTTGGGACTACTTTAGTAAGTCTGAGAAACTCTTCTGTTCAGGTAGAACAAGATTTGCACTAAAAGCCATGGATTTTTCCCTGTAACGTAATCAATTTCAGTAGTCTTTTATGAAATGTGTTGGTTGTCTAGGTATTTTTTTCATCCGGAAGTGGACAGTGTACCAACTCTACCTGAATAGTAGCTTATCTAATATGGGGGTTTTGAGTATGACGTCCACACACCTCTGGCCCTTTAAGGGCTCAGTAAAACGGAACTGTAAAAGAAGCAACAACTCTTAAATTTTCTATTGGAGGATTTCTACATCAGGTGGGAAAAATACAAGAGCTTTCATGAAGTGAAGAAAGTTGAAAATTATTCCTCTAGTATGTCTTTAGAAACTGCCTTTTAGACTTTCACTGTTGAAAAAAGGCACTTAAATAAGAGTACTGACTATTTTGGAAACTCGGCAGAATACTTACAGGCGTGCATTTCTGTTTAGTATGTCTGGACCAAATAGCTATTCCGAATGGGCTATAGAAGGGCGTC